AACAACAACATCTAATAGGTGTGGCACTTTAGGATCAGCACTGGACTTTGAACCATAAGGTTGGAAGTTGAAACCCACCAGCTGTTCCTTGGAAACCCTATTCAGAGTCACTATGAGTTTGAACTACTCAACGGCACTTAACAACAACAACCAGCACATCCCTTCAGCTCAGAGTGACCTCATTTCACCTACTCCTAATCAACCTCTCTCCCATTCTAGAATAGTATCCTCACGTCTACAGTTGATTTATAGGTATTCTCTCCATTTCTTCCATCTCTCTGTGTGCAGGGGCCTCTACAAAGGTGCTGGGCCTGGGGAGTGCTGCACAATTCTACTCAGACCCATATGGGGTGACAAGAATCAGAGGGTTATGGATTCTGTAGTTGCCAAATGTGTTAGTACTCAGCCTCCATGTGGCAGCTGCACCGTGAGTGAGAACAGAACCACCACTGGGTACATTCCTAATGCATATAGGTACTTTCCCAAAGCCAACATGAAGATTATTTCAAAGAACACAGCATTTTAGTGACAGGAAATCAGGCAAGCTCCTGGCTCAGAGCCTAATTTCACAAAAACTCAGCAACAACTAGTGAGCATGCTGGGGGCCCACCAGGCAGGCCCAGCTCTGGTTAAGTCCCAGTCTGATGTAGGGTGCCAGTTCAAGTTATGTAGTTGAATGCCTCTGGAACTATCAGCGTAGGTCCTAAGCAAAGGAAATGAGAAAGGGAAGCTTTCCATCTAGAAGTTTCATTCTTAACTGGCACTGTGCTGGGGGTGGGGCAGATTCTAAAAGCTACAGGGTCTGCATGGCCCTCATGTTACTCCTGATATCCAGGGCCTGGCTCAGCTTTGGTGGCTTACATGCCTTTCTTGTGACTCTTACTCTTTAGAAAATGTTTCTTTAACTTTTAGGAAAGAGGAGATGGAAATGTTTTCCTATTGTACTGTGAGGAACTACTTTCTGACTTTCCTTTCTGTTCCTTAAGTCCTTTCTACCTTGGCCCACCTGTCATCAGTGCAAACAACTGTTTCCTTTCTCCTTAACGTGGAACTTTGATAACCACGGTGTATGCCTGCTTTAGTCTGCCCCTCCTGATCTCTATTGTAGGATTAGCTGGGTCTTCTACATATGCTCCAGTATGGATTCCCATTGCAGAGGGTTTACCAGAATCATTATTGTTTTGTTTTTTGTTTTCCTGCATTTAAAAAAATTATTGGTGCTCTTGTTGTTAAGTGCCATAGAGTTGGTTCTGACTCATAATGATGCTGAATAAATAGAGTTTCCTATTAGTGGACTTTTTTTAGAGCAGTTGAGGTTTATAGAAAACCACAGCAGAAAGTATAGAGTTCCCAGACACTCCCTTCTTCCCTACCTATTCTACTGGATTATTTACATGTATTGTTGTTAAGTGCCATTGAGTTGGTCCTGACCCACAGCAACCATGTGTAGGGTTTCCGAGGAGCTTGAACCACCGACTTTGCAGTCCAGCGCATTAACCCACAGTGCCACACCAAGACTCAATTAACATGCATTGTTGTTGTTGTTAACTGCTGTCAAGTCGATTCTGACCCATAGTGACCCTATGGTCACCAGCAGCTGGTGAGCTTGAACCGCTGACCTTGCTGTTCAAACCAACTTTGCAATTCAGTGCATTAACCCACAGCTCTACACCAGGACTTGTGGTACTATTTGTATTGTATTATATTGTATGTATAGATACATAACAATGGATGAAGGTTAGTCAAAAATTATCCATACTCTGGCTGTAGAATTTACTTTAATCAACTTTTTAAAAAGACAAATACATAATTTTTCCACATAATCTCCTTGCTTTTCAATACACTTTGTCCATCTGTCAACAAACTTTCATATTCCCTTATTAACAAATGTTTTAGGCTGAGCTGTTAGCCACGAATGCACTGCTATCTTCACTTCTTCACCAGAGGTGAATCTTTGTCCTTAAAGGGCTGCTTTCAGGGAACCAAAAAGGTGAAAGTCAGATGCAGCAAGATGAGGACTACAGGGAGGATGCTTTAACACCTTAAAATGAAGTTTTTGCAAAGTGTCAACAGTGTGGGCAGAGGTATGTGGACGTGCCTTGTCATGCAAGATCACAATGCCCTTGGAGGTGACTGAGGATGTTTCCATTCCATACTCTGCCATTTACTCTCAGGAAACCGACCAAGAAAAAGTTCAAAAGTCAACCACCAGCTGGAAACGTGATGTTTACATTTTTCTGGGATTTTCAAGGGCCAGTAGGAAAAACGTTCAACAATCAACAGCGCTCATTATAGTGAGATGCTCACTGAAGAACTGAAGCCTAAACTTCGGATTAAACCCAGAGGACTGCTATCCAAAGGTGTCGAGATCTCACATGATAATACACATCCACACACCTGTGTGTTGACACTCTGCAAAAACTTCATTTTGAGGTGTTAAAGCATCCTCCTTATAGTCCTGATCTTGCTCCATCAGACTTTCACCTGTTTGGTCGCCTGAAATCTTCCACGATGAAGATTTCACCTCTGATGAAGAAGTGAAGAGAGCAGTGCATTTGTGGCTTGCAGCTCAGCCTAAAACATTTTTTAATAAAGGAATACAAAAACTTGTTGACAGATGGACAAAGAGTATTGAAAAATAATGGATTTGTCTTTTCTAAAAGTTGATTCAAATAAATGCTACAGCCAGGGTGTGGATAATTTTTTACTCCCTCCCATACATTTGCTAAACTCTGCAGAACTGTACAACACCCAATGAGCCCGAATGCAAACTAGGAATTTCAGTTAATAATAATGTATCAATACTGATTCGTTCATCAATTGTAACAAAGGCACTCACTCCTGTCTTCCATCTATTCATCCCTTTCTCCTCTCCTCAGCCCCACTCAACCCATGGCAACCCCTGATCTTTTTACTGTCTCTATAGTTTTGCCATCACTATCTTATAAAAACACATTCTGATTTCTACAAATAAAATTCATTCAAGAAATTCTTGAGTCATTCTGAAATGACTCAAGTTGTGAAGTCCAATTGCCTGGATTTGAATCACAGTCCCATGATTTTGTCAATGTGAGCAGTTTTCCTTATCTGTAAGATGGGAAGGTAGTAATCCTTTACTCCTTCTTCATTGTGAAAACGAAATGAGTTCATACTTGTATGTTGCAGTCAGAACAGAACCTGGCACGTAGCAGGCGCTGTGTTTGTTATTTCAGTATAATTAGTTTATTAAAGCAATCCCCCTCTGGTGCTCTTATTTATAAAACACATTCTCTTTCCTTGAGAAAGCAGGGTCATATCTCTTGCCCTTTCTCTCTTCTTACTCTTGTCCTTCCACTTAATTCGTCTTTGATGCTGCCCCGTCACCAAGGCAGCAGCTCTCTCTGTGGCTGGCTAGGTACTAGAGCTACAGACAGACGGATGAGAACAAGGAGCCATTTCAAAACAGCACCAGGCGCTCACTTACTGAGCAGGGTTCTCAGAAAAGAAGGCCCCGGATATCTGTCTCTTTTCCATTGACACCCAGATTCCCCTTCCAGGCCGCAGCCTATCCCCTGCCCTACCTTGACATCAGTACTGAAGTTGGTGATTTTGTTGCAGCCTGAGTTTTCCAGATGGTAGTTGGCCCATCTCAGCAGGAGCTCCTCAGGGGAGAGCTTCATCAGGTCTTCTAGGCTCTCTCCTTCTCTCAAAAGAGCAATCAGAGCTACGGGACACAAAAGCAGAAAACAAATAAATACCAGGGATTCGTGACAGCTTTCACTGAACCCTGTCGGAAAGTTGAAGATAACAATATCACCTCCATCGAGTAGAAGTACTTACAGCCTTGTCCATGGAATAAACACTTTCTTACTATGCCAAGGAGCCCTAGTGATGCAGTGGATGAAAGGTCACTGGTTCAAACCACCAGGCACTGCACAGGAAAAAGACGTAGTTGTCTGTTCCTTAGGAACCCTATAGGGAGGGCAGCTCCTCTCTAAACTGCAGGGTCACTGTGAGTCAGAATTGGTGTGATGGTTTCAAGGTGGAGGACTGGTGTGGCGCGGTAGAATAAGCACTGGTCTGCTAACCACAAGGTTGGTGGTTCAAATCCACCAATTCTTGGAAGCCGTTTACAGGGTCGCTATAAGCCAGAACCAATTCAATGGAACTTAACAATAACAAAAAATCCACCAGTTGCCATCTAGTAGATTCTGACTCCTGGGAACCCATTTGTGTTAGAGTAAACTGTGTCCAGAGGGTTTCACTTGACTGATTTTATGTCACTATCTGCAGATCCCCAGCCTTTCTTCAAAGGCACCTCCAACTTCTCCATTAGTAGCCTGGCACTTAACTGTTTGTGCCACACAGGGACATTAGTCCCTAAAAGGAGGTGTAAAGTATTATGAAATTATTACCCCTATTATCCAGACGGAGAAAAGGCACCAACGAATCTCAGTGCAGCTGTTGTTGTTAAGTGTTGCTGAGTCAGTTCTAACTCACAGAGACCCTGTATAGGTTTCCGAGGAGCAGCTGATGAGCTTGAACTGCCAACATTGCGGTTCAAACTGACTTTGCAGCCCAGCGCATTAAACTGCAGCACCACAAAAGGACTCCCTCTCAGTGCAGCAGAACCCTGAAAACAGCCCTGTCAGATTCCTCAGACCACATTTTATGGAAGGACAGTTTTGCTTTGCTTTTAAGAGATCAATTCTGTAATAACAACAGTGTTCACTTGCTTATTCCCATAGGTGCTGTATATTTCAAATGCTTACCTGCATAATTATACAGTCTCAAAAATGTAATCATTTGCTGTGTTTTCTTTGAAGGATATTTTTTGCTCAGCTAGAACGTTTAAATTTAGCTAAGGTCATGATGTGCAAATCAATATTCTTTCTCCTGGGTTTAAAGATCTCTACTTGCAGCTTTTATTTTTTCCTTTAAATTATGTTTGACGTGTTGATTTTAAAGTTGTACCCTAGGGTTCTCCACTGGTTACTGGGATTTCTGAGCATATACATAGAAAGTTTACATAACTGAAGATTAGATTTTTGGCTACAGATTTCATGATGGCAGCAACTGTTTCTGACCTCCAAGGTGACAGTGTCTTTTATATGATACGTAACAAGGTCTACAACCTTGGTCTAGGCAACCCAGTGGCAACTGTGGACATGTAGATACGGTGGTAGAAGCAGAGAATAAATTTAGTTGAGATCTTTGAAACTGTAAATGTGATTTTCTATTGTCTTGACAATAAATGGTGGTGGTGGTATGCCATGGAGTCAGTTCCGACTCAATGCGACCCTGCATAGGGTTTCTGAGGCTGTAAATCTTTATGGGAGCAGAAAGCCTCATCTTTCTCCTATGGAATGACTGGTAGTTTCGAACTGCTCACCTTGAGGTTCGCAACCCGACTCATAACCACTATGCTACCAGAGCTCTTTATACTCCTAGTTAATTTCTCCTAATGTGGAATGACTGCTGCAGTAAATAAACATGGGCTGCTTCATAAAGTACAAGTTACAAACCATCCTGTTTGTTATCTAGTATCTGAGGACAAAGTGAATTTTCTGCTCCTGAGGTTGGAAGTCCAGAGAGCTAGAATGAGCTGTATGTTAAAGGTAACAGTATCACGCACTGCCATCAAATCTATTACAACTCACGGTGACCTTCTACAGGTTTTCTGAGACTGTAAATCTTTACCACAGCAGACAGCCTCACCTTTCTCCCATGGAGTGGCTGATGGGTTTGAACCTTACGATGGGCAGTTCAACGCTTAGCCCACAGCATCACTAGGGCTCCTTAAATAACAGTACTCATGATCATAAAGAATTTTTGATCCCTGTTTTAAAAGAAATTCAGTGTGCACAGAATCTGTTTACATTAATGCAATCGTTTCAATATACCTTTACATAATTTTCAAAACTTGAGAAATCTGAGTTTGGACATTCCTGATATCTTCTTCCTACAGCCCCTGAGTTTGGACATTCCTGACATCCTCTTCCTACAGCCCCTGAGTTTGGACATTCCTGATATCCTCTTCCTACAGCCCCTGAGTTTGGACATTCCTGACATCCTCTTCCTACAGCCCCTGAGTTTGGACATTCCTGACATCCTCTTCCTACAGCCCCTGAGTTTGGACATTCCTGATATCCTCTTTCTACAGCCCCCAATATATGCGGTCAACAATGTGGGAGACTTTGCTCGTACCTTCATTTCTGCTGAGTTCGATGTCGGCAAACAATCCAATCTTGATGACTTGCCACAGAAGTCCCAGGACCAGATACGGCTTGCCCTCCTTCAAATCCTCGGCTCCGATGTTCACCACATGGCACCCGATGGCAGAGGCAGAGTTCAGAGCCAGGTTCAAGTTTTCCTGAGGCAAAAAAGTTGGCAAGTTTTGTTCTTTGACTTCACAGATGCCCAAGGATGATGACTATTAGCAAGAGTAACAATGTTTTCTTTCTGGACAGTTCATAGGTCTAATGCCTTCTCTTGATTTTAACATTGAGAAAAAGCAGTGACAAATACTTGAGAATGGACATCTAGATCCAAGACCCTGAGTTTACAGTGGGTACTCAGTCAAACCAGCACCCAGTGCTAAAGGTCATCCTGATTGGGGTGAAGCTTAGGAGTCTTCCTTTCTCATCTTACCCTGTGATGGAGACCACACACTCAGCATCCAGTAGGCATAAATAAAGCGGCCCCTTTGAGGGAAGTCATTGTCTTGTCACTGACTACCATTAATAACACAATTGTTGATGTAAATAAAGGTCATAAAACAGACTAACAGAGTAATAGCTTTGGACTTGTAGATTTGGTATTAAGGGAATAAAAAAGGTATAAATCAAGTTCCTGGGGGGGAAAAAAGGGATGATTTTCACTAGGACAGTTTATTGAGTATCCATAATATTGAGGGAACTTGAACAAATTATATACATGTTGCTGTTGTTGTTAAGTGCCGTCGATTTGATTTGGACCCATAGAGACCCTGTATAGGGTTTCCAAGGAGCAACTGGTGAACTTGAACTGCCAACTTTGCAGTTCAAACAACTTTTCAGTCTGACGCATTAGCCCACAGCACCACACCAGGTCGCTCTCTCTCTCACTGTGTGTGTATATATATAGCTTGTGTGTGTGTATATATATATATAGCTTGTGTGTGTGTGTGTATATATATATATATATATATACACATATATATATCTTGTTGTTACTAAATGCCATAAACTTGAGGTTGCAAACCGACCTTGCAATCCAAAGAATTAGCCTGCAGCGCCACATCAAGACTCATATATATATTTGGAAAACCATAGCTCCATATTTTAAGCACTGGATGGCAGACCACAAGGTCCATGATTCGAGCCTGCCAACTGCTCCAAAGAAGAGAGATGAGGCTTCCTGCTCCCTCTAAGATTTAAAGTCTCAGAAACCCTATACAGGGGTGCAAAAGTTCGAGGCCACAGAGGTAAATACTGTTCTAGATAGAGTTTTCTTTATGGATCACAGGACTGTTTTCCACTGCATCTTTTAGCTAGTAGCCAAGAGTAACCACCTGTGCCACCCAGAGGCCTGCCTATACATACATACATACATACATACATACATATATATATATATATATATATATATATACCACAGGTTCATTTGATTAATAATAATGCATATAATGGAACTCGTGTGCAGTTGGAATAAACTGGAGTAGACACAATGGAATTTTCAGTTAAGAGTTTATGTGCTTTTCTTGGGCCAATAAATAGGAGACAAGACCAGTATCTATTGTATAGGGATTATTTCAATAACCAATTAAAACCAAATAAAAAAACAAGTCACCAGCAAATTCAGAAGGAGATTATCAGGAGAAAAGTGAGCGCGTATTCTAGCGTGGAGCTGAAACAGTGAGTAAGAAATGTTATTTCTATTTACAGCCAAGATTATGAGTTCATTTAACATTGGGATGGTTTTTGTTAAGTGCCATCTAGTCGGGTCTAACTCATAGTGAACCTGTATAGGTGTTCTGAGCAACAGCTGGTGGGTTTGAATCACCGGCTTTGTGGTTAACAGTCCAGTGGTTATGCAGCACCATATCAGGACCGCAAATTTAACATTCTGGGCATTTATATATGTTTAATGATTGTACTTTGGGCATGTTACCAAGAGGACTTAACTCCTGCAGGACATTGTACTTGATAAAGTGGAGGGTCAGTGAAAAAGAGGAAGGCCCTCAGTGAGATGGATTGATACAGTGGCAACATCAGTGGGTTCAAACAGAGCAACAATTGGGTAGTGGTTTGTTCTGAGAAAAACTAACAATACCACCTACCAATAACAACAGTCGTTGCTTTCACTTTCATTACCTACCACTTTAATTTTCAAAGTAAAAAGCATTGCTCAAATCCAGAGAGAAAACTGTATATTTAAGATGACCTAAGAAGTGAAGTAGAGCTTCAGAGAAAGGATGACAAACTTGTTAACATGTTGGAACAGAACTCAGAAAGAGCTTATGTGTTGCTGCTGCTAACTGTCCCATCTAATCTCCATATTGAGGAATAAAAGCGGGGCATATTTATCACACTCCTGGGTGCAGCCAATACCACTGAGAGAGTAGCCAAAACACTTCCCGTTTTCACTCCCCTCACTTCTTAGAAAGGCTTATCTTTTCAGCTAAAATGCTACGTATTTGGTATCAGCTCAAAGATTATGTTAGAGAAGTTTGAGTTAAAAACATCATCCAATGTGAATTTCATTGATATTCCTGAAAGTAACAACACCGTCACCCCCAACCTTCCTTTCCTGGCTATAGTGAAGATTGTGTCCCTAAACAATTTTGTTGTTATTAGTTGCCACTGAGTTGATTTCAACTCAGAATGACCACATGTGGCAAGACAGCAATTTCTCATAGGCTTTTCTAGGCTGCCATCTTTATGGGAGCAGTCTATACGATAAGTACTGGACTGTGAACCACAAAGTTGGCAGTTCGAGCCCATTAGCTGCTCCACAGGAGAAAGATAAGGCTTTCTATTCCCCAAAAGAGGTACAGCCTCAGAAACCCTATACAGGGTCACAATGAGTTGGATCTAACTTGACTGCACTTAGCAACAACAATGACCTTTATGGGAGTAAATCTTTCTCCTGCAGAGCTTGGGGGTGGATTCTCACCACTAATCTTTTGTTTAGTAACTAACTGAATGGTGAACCAGTGTGCTCCCAGGACACCTTGAGTCTCCAGAGGTCATGGTAAGTCATCTCCCAAAGCCTGGATTTGGGGATGAGTGTCTGAGCATTCAGGAGCTCTGGTGCTCATTCTAAGCACAATGTTGGATTAGTTTATGTGGAAAGACATACCTGAATGGTGAAAGGGGTGAGTTTCTTTTTGTTGATTGTTCTTTCATCAATTGTATCTGGCACTGATAAATTGATCATTTTACTGAAAGAGAGGGGATTAAAGACTTTAATTGAGAATTCTGAGTAACAGAACTCTGTAACACCTGATTTAAATCGTGTTGTTATTGTGCCATGCTATCGAAGGTTTCCATCTAAAATCAACTGTGAAATTTTCAAACTTCTTAGGGGGAGGTTACTGGTCCAGAAGTCCTATTTGTAAGCAGGGAATGAGGAACTGGTGCCATTCACTCACTTAGAAAACTGCAGTTTAATCCTTATTCCCTTCTTCTCGGTAGAGAATCAAAGCAAATCTCCCATTGATACTTTACTTTCTTAGCACAAAAATCGTTCCAAAAGACTTTCTGAATGAGGGGACTTTAAAAAGTTCACGGAAAAATTCCATTAGCTCTTAATTCCATTCTCCCACAAATTTTTTGAAGCTCCCTCATGTGCTTTTGAACTTTTGTAATATCAAAATGTCTCATTGTCACCTGATAGAATTCTGTACATTCAACTCATCACATGACTTTTTTAATATCCTACTATTGCCAAGTTAGTATCTATTCAATGTTCAAAAAGGAATGAAAAATATGTTTCCTTAGCTCACCTCCATCTTTAAGGAAATTAAAATGAAAAATTCCAGAATATGCACAGTCAGGCCTCTGTATTCACAGGTGTCATATCTGAGGATTCAACCAACCATGAATTGAACAGGATCAAAACAGTTCAGGGGGTGGAGGAATGTAATGAAGTGGTCACAACAATTCCCCCGAGGGCTAAGAGGGAGCATAAAGTGCTACCTACATTGCACTCCCATTGTCTTAGGTATTGGATATAATCCAGAGATTTAAAATATACTAGAGGATGTGCATAGGTTATATGCAAATAGTATGCCATTTTATATAAGGGACTTGTGCATCCTCAGATTGTGGTATGTGTGGCATTCCATTGACCAGTAATGTGTTTAGAGACCTCCTGTGAAGGACACACATTCTTCCTTGCCCAGATGCCCTCAGTTCTTGAGTTGTGGACATTTGTATAACGCTGAAAACCTTATGGATCATACCAGACTGCAGTCTGTTATAATGTTGGGCTGGAAGATGAACACCGAGGTTAGAAGACACTCAAGATGCACTATGCCCACAACAATGGACTCAAGCGTAGCAATGATGAGGAAGATGGTGCAAGACCAAGGCTTTCATTCTGTATACATGAACTGAAGCCTATTCAAAGGCATCTAATATCAAAAGCGTATACTCTCATGATAGATCTTGTTCAGATGATCCAAACTGGTATATATTCCAAAGTAACTGCTGTTGATCTCCTATGAATACATTTATGTCTATCTGTCTGTCTGCTCTGCGCCCTTCCACAAAAGCAGGTTTACACTTCTCCTTGTAAGTTGCTCTTGTAATTAATTTACACTTGTGGACTGGCCAAAAGCAAATCCAGGAAAGCATTTCAGGTGCAGACTGAGCACCTGGGAAGTTGGCCTAGGGGAAGCACAGTTCATTGTTGATACTCTAGGAAGCTGGTCTATAAGTCTATCAGCAGGACACCAGAGAGGAAGTGTTACATACCAGAGAACAATGCCATCCCCAACAGAGTTAAAGAGGTCATCTGTGTCGGGATTCATTGGGATGACATGCCGGCAATCAGGGTCATTTTCCAGGGCTTTGTTTATCCAGTTGACAAAGGCATATTTTTCTTCCTCTGAAAAGAGATGATTAAAATAACTCATTTGCAAAGAGAAAATCTGGTATAAATAAAATTACGCATATTGGTCTTAGCATCTCATGCCCCAGGAGGGCCATTGTGAGTCTTATATTTATGGACATTCAAAAATCAAATCATTCATCAGATAGGAGCCTTAGGGGCAGTGAGTTTGTGTTAATGAGGGAGGAAAGACTCAGAAAAGGACGGTGAGAATTGTTGCAAAATTCAAAGAAGCAATCAGTGTCACTGAATTGTACATGTAGATTCGGTAGAATTCATGTATGTTTTGATGTTTATAGCCTCAACAATAACAGTAAAATTAATTAATTTATATATACATATGGAGTCCTGGTGTGGCACTGTGGGCTAATGCGTCAGACTGCAAAGCTGTTTGAACTGCAAGCTGGTTCAAGCTCACCAGCTGCTCCTTGGAAACCCTACACAGGGTCACTACGGGTCAAAATCTACTCAACGGCACTTAACAACAACAACAACAGATTACATATATATGAGGGGGCTTCCAAAAGTTCATGTAAAAATAGAATAAAAAGATAATGAAATTTTTCCACAAACTTTTTAAAGCCCCCCTGTGTAAATGTGTACGTGTAATTTAAATAATGAATGTTATCTAGTATTTACAGGCTAAAACTCAGGGCTCTAAAATATCCAAAGCCCAATTGCTTTGATTGGAGTCCTTAGCCCCTATGTTGTGCTGATTTAAATGTTGGCTGACCATAAATAATGTTTGGAGCATCACTCAACTTCTTCATATAATTAAAATGAAGGTGTTATGAAGTGAAATGATTTATGATGTAATTTTTCTGATCATTGAAGCTGCCAGAACTTTTAATAAAACTTTTAATAAAAACTAAAGGATATGCTTTGAGACAAGCATCGTGTTTCTCAAATTGTGTGTTGTGGAAAACTAGCATAGGAGCCTCTCCAAAAGATCCTGAGTCAAAGAAGTTTGGGAAACATTACATAGCCTATTAGTATCTTGTAGAAGTAAAAATGCACGTTTACAAAGACTCTGAAAAGTCCTGTATTTAAAAAGAAAAGGCTTAGGTTGGCCTCAGAAATCAGAGACAGCATTAAACCATGGACTCATCTTTACTGTCAACCAACACTTTGAAAAACTCAGATTGGGGAATGTCAGATTACTGTACTATTTGGGTTCTTAGAAATCTCCACTAAGGCTATTGTCTGGCAGCCTTCGGAATAAACACACAGCTTTTACTTGTGTATTTATTTTTCAAAATCATGCAGAAAACTATTTCCTGATAACTAAAAAAAAAAAAAAAAAAAAAGTTTTAACTACTCAGAAGGAATTGAGAGGGGAAAAAAAAGAAATATGGAGGAAAAACCCTAAGTAGCTTATTTTGTCTGTAAGATTACAAAGGGATGTTGGCAGTCTTTAATGAAGTTCGCTGGTGGTATCATTTGGTATTACACCCTACCTGGAGCTAGAACAAGATGAAATGGTGGCATAGTGGATTAAGCTAATTACAAGGTTGGTGGTACAAGCCCACCAGTAATTTTGCTGTCTGCTCCTGTAAAATTTACAGTCTTGGAAACCCTAGGGAACAATTCTACTTTGTCCTGTAGACTCACTATGAGTGACAATCAACTCAGTGGCAGGTTTTTTGGGTGGACCAAGGATGCTGCTATCTAATGTACCTGGAACTGACCCTCATACATACAAGAAAAAAAGGTGGTGGGTGATGGTTGTTCACCACCAAGTCAGTTCCTATACCCCTGTATAGGATTTCCAAGGCTGTAAATCTTCTTTAGACAGCATAAGAGATGATTACAGACATGGACCTCACCAGATGGAATATATAGAAATCAAACTGACTACATCTGCAGAAAGAGAAGATGGAAAAGCACACTATGGAACAGACTCAATTACTCATATGCAAATTCAAACTGAAGCTGAAAAAAAATGAAAACAAGTCCACAAGAGTCAAAATATAGCCTTGAATATATCCCACCTGAATTTAGAGATCATCTGAAGAACAGATTTGATACATTAAACACTAAAGACTGAAGACCAGAAGAGTTGTGGAATGACATCAAGAACATCATATGTGAAGAGCGCAAAAAGTCATTAAGAAGACAAGAAAGAAGGAAAAGGTCAAAATGGATGTCAGAAGAGACACTGAAACTTGCTCTCCAGTGTAGAGATGCTAAACCAAATGGAAGAAATGAGGAGGTCCAAGAGCTGAACGGTAAATTTCAAAGATCAGCTTGAGAAAATAAAGCCAAATATTACAACAAAATGTGCAAAGATCTGGAATCAGAAAACCAAAAAGGAAGAACATGCTTAGCATTTCTCAAGCTGAGGGAACTGAAGAAAAAATTCAAGCCTCAACTTTCATTATTGAACGATTCTCTGGGCAAATTATTGAATGATGCAGAAAGCATCAAGAGAAGATGAAATGAATACACAGAGTCACTATACCAAAAGGAAATGGTTCATAGTCAATCATTTCAAGAGGTACCATATGATTAAGAGCCAATGATACTATAAGAAGTAGTCCATGGTGCATTGAAGGAATTGGCAAAGAACAAGGCACCAGGAATTGATGGAAACAAAATTGAAATCTTTCAAGAAAGTGAGGCGGCACAGAAGGCACTCACTCAGCTATGCCAAGATATTTGGAAGACAACTATCTGGCCGACTGATTGGAAGAGATCCATATTTGTGCCCATTCCAAAGAGAGGTGACTCAACAGAATGTGGAAATCATCAGACAATCTCTTTGCTATCCCATGCGAGTAAAGTTTTACTAAAGGTAATAAATACAGAAACAGCTTCAATTATACATTGACAGAGAACTTCCAGAGGTTCAAGCTGGATTCAGAAGAGGCTGTGGAACGAGGGGTATCATCGCTTATGTCCAATGGATCTTGGCTGAAAGCAGAGAATGTCATAAAGATGTTTACCTGTGCTTTTTTGACTACGCAAAGGCTTTTGATTGTGTGGATCATGACAACCTACAGACAACATTGCGAAGTATGAGTATTCCAGAACACTTAATTGTGCTCATGAGGAATCTATACTCGGACCAAGAAGCAGTTGTTCAAACAGAACATGGGAGCACTGAATGGTTTAAAATTAAAGAACGTGTGTGACAAGGTTGTATTCTTTCACCATACTTATTCAACCTGTATGCTGAGCAAATAATCCGAGAAGCTGGATTATATGAAGAAAAACATGGGATCAGGATTGGAGGAAGACTCATTAACAACCTGCAATATGCAGATGATATAACCTTGCTTGCTGAAAGTGAAGAGGACTTCAAACATTTACTGATGAAGATCAAAGAGCACAGCCTTCGGTATGGATTACATCTCAATATAATGAAAACAAAAATCTTCACCACTGGACCAATAAACAACATTCTTATCAATGGAGAAAAGATTGAAGTTGTCAAGGACTTCATTCTTCTTGGATCAACTATCAACACTTACAGAATCAGCAGTCAAGAAATCAAACAACATATTGCATTGGGCAAATCTGCTGCACAATACCTTTTTAAAGTGTTAAAGAGCAATGATGTCAACTTGATGACTAAGGTATGCCTGACCCAAGCCATGGTATTTTCAATCACCTCATATGCATGTGAAAGCTGGACAGTGAATAAGGAAGACCGTAGAAGAATTAATACTTTTGAGTTATGGTGTTGGGGGAGAATATTGAAAGTGCCATGGGCTGCCAAAAGAACCAACAGATCTGCGTTGGAAGAAGTGCAGCCAGAGTGCTCCTTGGAAACCAAGATGGTCGAACTTCGTCTCTCATACATATCAGGAGGGACTAGTCACTGGAGAATGATATCATGTTTGGTAAGGTGGAGGGTCAGAAGAAAAGAGGAAGACCCCCAATGAGATGGACTGGCCAAGTGGCAGCATCGATGGACTCAAGTGTGGCCACAGTAGTGAGGTTGGCCCACTATGGGTCAGTACCAACTCGATGGCACCTAACAACAACAACAACAAAAAAATCTCAACAGGAGCAAAAAGCCTCCTCTTTCTCTCACGGAGTGGCAGCTGGTAGATTTGAATTGCTGACCTTGTGGTTAGCAGCCCAACTCATAATCCACTACATTACCAGGGCTCCTTAAGAAAACAGGTAGTCACCAATAAACTTGAGTTTGAGGTGTCTTTGAGGATCCTCCTTCAGCTTGAGTATCAAGTTTAGAATCTGTAACCCCAGAAGACCTGGGTGTTTTCTATACCTTTTTCTTCTCCCTCACCCTCAGCTCTGTCTTTACCTCAACCCCTTGTGCACCCCTCTTTTGCCCCTATGAACCCACCTACCGGAATAGGAGTGCTGTGTGCCAACACTGGACTGCTCCGAGGTGCCGCCGATTGCACAAATCCCTTCCTTCTTATTGATGGCTTTTCGAAAGGTCTTGGCAACATCTGTGCTTTTTAGCCCACGAAACACCTGCAGACATCAAATGTGTCCTTAAAACCCAAATCGTGATCAAGAAAACCACGTACCATCGAAGCACCCACACATATGTTGTTGGTGCAAACTTTTTTCCTGAGCATTGTTTGAATTCAATACAAGTTCCAAGTTTCCTTCCGTCATCTGCACCATCCTCACCTTAATAAACTCATCGAAGCTGATCTTCCCATCTTGGTCCAGACCACCTGCAGTCATGAGGTCTTCTGTAATCTCTCTCACTCTGTAGCCAGGCAGAGGTAAGCAGGCAGCCTTGAACAAGTCATTCAACTCATTACAGCTGATGAACCCATTGCCGTCTGTATCTGTGATGCAAAGGACATACGGAAGCATCAGGTCACAGCGTTAGAGAGCAGAGGTAAAAGGGCAAGGGAGGCAGTGATGTAGGGAACAGGGCTTGACTCCATGAGAGAGCCACATCTCAGGAGCTGGGCATTTCACCTCACTCTTACCATCCGGAGTAAATAACTCCTCACGTCATAAGAGCCGCTTGGGCAACAAAATCTGAAGGAGCTATTGTAAAGGCAGAAGGGAAAATAAATCCCAGCTTTTTAAAGCTCATTAGTGGCCGTCTAAGGTACAACTACTGATCTCTTTTTGTGTGGAAGAAGGAAGAGTGGTTACAATTGAAGATGCTTGGAATCAACTAGTGCAATGGACCAATGGAGCAGGTGAACATCGGTCATCACCATGACTCTGAGGCCAGAAGAACCAGAGATCACAAAGAAACTGGGGGAACCTGAAACTATGGCCCTTGATCCCCTGTTAGATTTAGAATGAAATTCACCTTTGTAGCTCAATTTTTAGCCCAACAGTGGAAAGGTTTATGGGGGAGGATGACACTAGCCAGGTATGCTCACCATGGAATGGTCAATGATTCAAGATCAAAAGGGCAACATGTACCTAAGGACAAAGTTGAGAAGGGATGGGAAAGAGGGTGAAACGGAAATAGGAACCTCAGGGAGGAAGTAGGAGAACTGTTCTTGCATGAAGGGAACTGTAATCATTGAGATGAAACAAAGCGTGTGACTTAATGAATGTAAAACGGATGAAAGCTCCACTCAATTCACAATAAAAAGTTAAAAAAATAAAAACACCTCCTCCCCCAAGGTTTAGAGATAAAAAGCAAGAGATAGTATGAAACAGTAGAAAAACAAAGGAGCCCAAAGAACGTAGAAAAGACACAAAAGATGAGAATGAGGAGTCATTTTCAGGAAAGAACTACATGTGGGAAAATTTCATATTCTATTGTTTGACAGGGGAACTTTTTTCCCCTGTTAAACAATGGAATATAGACCTTTTTTAATTTTCTTGAATCATGTCTTTCAACTAAGTCCTTCCAGCCCCTCTAACCAAGACAGCTGAGTGCCCATTGCCTTCACTGTCTTGCTAACATTTCACAGAGGTTGTCTGAAGCTGCTCCATGAAGAACGAAAGTTAGCAACCCGAGATGCTGGCTGTACTCACCAACTTTGGCAAATGCTTCTCTGAGCTCCAACATTTCTTCGTCGGACACTGATCCTCTGGCCATTTTGTATTGCTTGAGGTAACAGATCTGAGGGTAGAGAAGACACATAAAGAATGACTTTGGGTTATCTTTCATCTTAAGATACCACACAAAGAAGCAATTCTTGTCTATTACATGAAGACATCCTTTCTTGCATGCCCTATGATGTATGTATAGAAGGCGCTCTGGTAGCATAGTGGTTACGAATCAGACTGCTAGCCTCAAGGTCGGCAGTTCGGAACTACCAGCTGTTCCGCGGGTGAAAGATGACGCTTTCTGCTCCTGTAAAGATTTATAGCCTTGGAAAACCCTGTGCAGGGTCACTATGAGTCAGAACCGACTCCACGGTACTTAACAACAACAACAACAATAAATGATGTATAGATATATTTCAAAAAAATAAGAACCACTCTTTTTCTTAACCCTCCATCTCTTGGTCTTCAACAACTCCTCTACCATCTGCATACACACACTGCTCCTCATATCAAAAGGTCCCCTTCCCCTTGAATGGGTGTTGAGTCCTGTGTCTGCTTTCACTGGGAAAAGGTGGTGGAGTGACGTGTGGGATGGAAACTTCTGCTCTTTCTTCTGGAATGCTCCCTCTTAGAACCCATCTGCCATGTTGTGAGACAACCACGCCACACGAAGAGACCAGAGAAGGAGAACTGGCGTCTCTGGTTCCTTCAAGAGCCCCTGTTAACCTCCTGGATGACAGATAGCATCAACTGTCAACACCTGAATGACCCAGGGGTTCACACCCCAGGTAACATCACATGGAGCTGAGGAATCCAGTCAACCAGAAGAATCATGAAAGACGATAGAATCATTGTTATTTTTAAATGTGACGTTTTGGAGTGGTGTACTACACAGCAATGGGCAACTCAAACATTCCAAATGTATTTTTAAAACCAGTATCTTCCACGTTCATTCTTCAAAGTTAACATTTTGCCAAGCAAAGGATAAACTTTACAACTTCAAAGGGAGCTTTCAAAGCCGTCTAAACACTTATAGAAAGAGGAAAAGAAGCTGACCCTGCAATCATAACTGATAAACGGAATGCTGAGGAACTTTTTCTGTGTTTTCTTCTGACAAATTCTGTTGAGAAACTGTCACAGCTTCAACAATTTCCCTTCCCTGCTGCATTATTGCTGCCCTCTAGTGGGTAGGAAGAGAATGAACCAGAAAATGGAGTCTCCGGGCTCCCAGCTAATCTGTGACAGACTGTTTCAACTAGGAGTTCTATGGAAATTTGCTGTATTTCTTACTGGAGAGAAGGTAGTGGGGTGGGAACTTGGACGATGGGGTATTTCCTAAGCATGATTCCATTTAGTAAAACAATATTAGTCAAAATTACCAAGATCTAAAAATATTTTAAATTTTGGGACCGGATGCTGTTTGAAATCTACTTCCTTTTCTGTATTTTCACTTCACTCTCCGTAGGGCAGAAGGAGCTCTAGCGGCATAATGCATTAAGTGTTGGTATGCTAAACTAAAGGGTAGTTGGAATTTACTGTTGTTGTTATGTGATGTGGAGCCGGTTCCGACTCATAGAGACCCTGCACAGGGTTTCCGAGGCTGTAAATCTTAAAGGGAACAGAAAGCCTCATCTTTCTCCGTGGAGCAGTTGGTAGTTTCGAACTGTGGACCCTGAGATTACCAGCCCAATTCGTAACCACTATGCTACCAGAGCTCCTTTGGAAGCTACTAGCAGGAAAGATTAAAGCAGTCTGTTTCCATAAAGATTTACAACCTCCTGTGGCACTGGACTGCAAACTACATACATGGTCGGCAGTTCAAACCCACCAGCTCCTCAGAAACTATACATGGTGCTAGGAGTCGGAATCAACTCCACGGCACTTAACAACAACAACAAACCCTATGGGACAGTTCTACTCTGTTCAATGGGGTCACTGGATTAGAATCGACTGGATGACAGGGTGTTTGATCTTTCAGCTTTCGTTAGCCCTGTACTTTTCTTCAATGGCAACCAACAACCATACAAACAAGGGAACAGTCTTAACGGTTAAATTCATCATTCAAAATGTATTACATTCCATTTTGCAAAGCCACATCTAGTATTCCAACTTAGTATCCTACCACTTAGGTTTCAGGGATTTCAAACTTTTTTTTATAACATAAAACTTGCGTGTAATTATGGGTGAGCAATGAGCATACCAACTTGCGAGTTTTTGTTTGAAGAAGCCCAAATGTATCCCCAGTATCCTCTACACTACCTTCTTGTAACCTCATATACATGTGGGGACTCTGGAGAGCATGAATTGAAAATCATGGAATTATATATGCTGTTAGCATTTCTAGTACTTCAAAAACATAATGTGGTAATAAAAAAAAAAAAACCTTGCAAAGGCAAACACAATGTTCTTCGCTTAATTATCCACAGAGACAGCGTCAGGCTCTCTGACTTCCTTTCTTTTCTTCCACTCCCTTCTCCCCCTTCTATCTTTCTATTCTATTCTTTCTTCTTCCCTTCCCTTCTCTAGCTTCCTTTCTACCATGCCTTGTTCTAAAAACAATTTGAGCCAGGTTACAAAGCTATATACCTAAGAACCAACTCAATGGCAGTTAAAAACAACAACAACAACAACCACAGCCACAAGAGTTATGCCAATTAAAGGAGGCACTTAATGGGAAAGAGAAATAGGGATGTGATGAAATAGGATGATGTCAAGGGGGAACTTGAATACTTAAATACATGATTAAGACCTTACACATCTTTACCGAACTAGGCTGAAAACCCAGCGCCAAGCTCTTTAGAATCCACTGCAGAAGGAAACTATCAATTATACAACCCAGTCTATCTCCAGGACACAAACAAATCAATTGTCTTATCATTGTTTTAGGCCAGTGGAGCTGCCGTCTGATAGTATTATCTTAGCTCAGTCTTCAAGGAGAGGGCCCTTGTGAGTTGTGGAAGACCCTTGGGAGAGGTAGCCACTGTACCTAAGATGGCACAGACATGGATATTCTCATCTTATAGAGTCGGCAATAGAAGCGCAGAGAAGCCAGGAAGCACATCTCAGATCACACAGCCAAGACTATACCCCTGTTCTGACTCCATTTCTCAAGTCTTTTCTCTTCTGCCACATATCACTCAGGTTCAATGCCTTTCATTCACTCAGTAATGTTTCAATAAGTATCCATACTGTGTGTAACCCCGTGAAAGACTTTGAACATTAAAATGCTGAGTCTTTTACCCCCCTGCTCTCTGGGCAGTCCCATAAAGGAAGCTTTTGTTTTTGTGTGTTAAGAAATCGAGGCTTCTGTTGTCAGAAATAAGTCACATAATTGTATATACTTTATACGTTTTGTGACTAATTTGACTTGGTTCTCTTCCAGACACTCTACCGACATTCAGTCATACTTATGAATCTGTTGTTACGTTGGTGTTAAGTGCTGTCCAGTGGGTTCTGACTCATAGCAACCCTGTATAGAGTTTCTGAGGAGCGGCTGGTGAGCTTGTACCACTGACCTTGCGGTTCAAATTGACCTTGCAGTCCAACGTATTAACTCATAGTGCCAGACCAGGACTCCTGTACTCATTAATTGTTGTTGTTTTTAAGTGCCTAGCAACCCCGTATAGCGTTTCCGAGGAGCGACTGGTGAGCTTGAACAGCTGACCTTGTGGTTCAAATCAACCTTGCAGTCCAGCTCATTAGCCCATAGTGCCACGCCAGGACTAGAAGGCTCTAATTCCTCCTCATAGTTTAGAAAATCCTGGCGGTGAACTATGGTCTAAAGCCCTATGCCTGACTGGTCTTTCTTGTTTTTAAGAGCATATGTGTCGAGTCGGGTCCGACCCATAGCAACCCTGTATAGAATTTCCAAGGAGCAACAGTTGGTGAGATTGAACAGCCGACTTGCAGTTCTCAAACAGCTTTGCAGTCAGGTACATTACTCCACACCAGAACTCAGTGTGTAAATACCTCTGATTTATGGAATGAATTCATTCATTTAATAAATATTCTATGAATGTGTACTATGAGCCAAGCACTGCTCTTTATTTTAGACGAGGAAGATGTACACTGACCTAGTGGGTTATCCAGGAAGCATGAGAGATAAGAGAAGAAAAGAAACACGAAGAGAATTAATGCCACCTCTGAACCCAAACCTGGCCCTAATCTTTGCCATAGAATTCTAAGTTACTGTGATACTGTGGTGTGCTGCTGTTGGGACTAAACACAAACTGATATTTGGAGACAACTGCTCCTACCATTAGAATGAGCAGTAAATCCTGGCAAAATAACCTAACTTTTGGAGACAAACTGTTGTGGATTGAATTGTGTCCCTCAAAAAGATACGTTGAAGTCCTACTCTCTAGTCTCTGTAAATGGGATCTTAGTTAGAAATAAGGCCTTTGAAGAAGTTATCAGTTGCGGAAGAAAGAGCAGAAGTGTGGCGTGAATATGAGGAAGCAAAAGAAAACAAGGAAACATGCCACCATGACGTGAATGCTTAGCTTCAGAGATCTGCGGCTTAAAGAAAAAGACTTAAGGTTAAAACCTAAAAAGAAAGAAGAGACAGATCCCAGTGCACTCAAGGCAAGAGAAGTCCCCCAAACCCTTCCTGTTTGTTCTTCCACTGTAACTGGGCCCACCTTACCACATCCTGGTTGATACCAAGTTTATCAACTTTTCCATTAAAGCCAAACTGGGCCTTGTACAGTCAATGATGGATTGTCTGTATGCCAAGTGTGTCCCTTGTATAACTGACTGTGTACTGGATGAAACTGAGAAGTTGGGGCAGAAGTATCGAGTGGCTCTATGGATTGCCAAGGAGCCAAGATTTGAACGATTACCATGCACACACAAAGGAACCTACACAGATGACTGCTTAGTACAGAGAGTCATGACTGCTTAGTACAGAGAGTCACTCAGCACAAGTGTTACATTGTGGCCACGGTTGACCAGGACCTTAAAGGAAGAATCTGGACCATCCCTGGAGTTTCTATCATTACATTTCTAACCAGAGGTGCAACATTGAGCAGATGCCAGAGGCTTATGGAG